AGAAGGCCAACACTGTAGGCGTCTAAAATTACCTATGAGAGCCCGCACGAATCTTGAAACAATGAGTGGGCGAGTCAAGAAGATTCATCTAATCATCTCGTGCGCGTTGGTCAGCGCGCGTACGCCAAACCAGCTCATGCGCGTCGATCAGCGCGCGCACGCCAAACCAGCTCGTGCGTGTCGGTCAGCGCTGCACGTCAAATCATCTCGTGCATGTCGGTCAGCGCGCGCACGTCAAATCATCTTATGCACGTCAATCAAACGTGCGCACGTCAAATCATCTCATGCGCGTCAATCAAACGTGCGCACGTCAAATCATCTCATGCGCGTCAATCAAACGTGCGCACGTTAACCAGCTCGTGCGCGTCGGTCCACACGCGTATGCCAATCAGCCCGCGTGCATTGATTAACACGCGTACATTAACCAACACGCGTTCGATGGTCAGTCTCGCGGCGAAGCATACAAGTCAACAAATCGACCAAATACGCGAAAAGAACAAGTCTCGGAAGAAAGAGAACAGGAAAAGAAAGAGTCGGCAAACCTGCGCGAGCGCGGGATGGAACAAACCGACCCGCGCAAGCGCGGGTTAGACAAGTCCGACCCGCGCCGCGCAGTCCGGAACCCGAAACACGTTTTGACGGTTTTAAAGCAGTTTTCACAGGATTTATCTGTTCCAGGGGTTCCTAACTGACTTGATATCATCCCCAAACGTGGTTAGGCTGTTGTTAACTAAAGATAGAGCCAAATCACTTGTTCTCATCCAAATAACCGTATCCGGGGCCTATAAATATGAGCCAAAGGCCTCTATTTTCGAGGGCTGGAATTTTATCAAGAGGACGATGTACTGCTGGATTGAAGAGTGAAGGAGCACGAAATTTCAGTGAAGGCTAGCGGGATCCCGGTGAACTTCAGCACAAAGGAGAAGCCGTTCGAAGGATCTGAAGCCCGTACGTCCGTTCCTTGAGATTAGGCTTAGTCTTAGGGCCTGTTTGGATTCGTAGGGGGTGAAGGGAAGTTAAGGGAAACTGAGTGAAGGGAAGGGAAGGGAAGGGAAGGGAAGGGAAGTGAATTCCCTTCCCCTTGGTTACACCCCAATTTGGGGGGTAACAATTTTTATACTATTAGGGGGTGAACCAAGGTGAATGAAGGTGAATTAACTTCACCTCCTAAGTGTTCCCAAACAAGGTGAATGGAGGTGAATGGTTCCCCTAACTTCCCTTCACCCTCATTCCCCTCAATCCAAGCAAGCCCTTAATCTCGAGAAGAGCCCTGATTTCGCTTAGTCGATCTCAGCGCTTCAAATCAGAAAACTTCCTTGGCGAAGGCGAAGCTCTGCCGAATTTTTCTACAACCGGATCTGATTCGCGGTCGTCCACGGATTAACCCCGGCACCGGCAAAGAACCCACGCAAGCAAGAGCTGATAAACGGATCTTGTGTTTATTTTCAAGAAAGTTGTAATTTTTATTTTCGTTATTCGAATTCATTTGTAAACGACTAAAGTTTAATGAAATCAATGATGAAGGCAGCTTTCCACGAAAACAGAAATTTCTTCTGGCCAGGAAGAAATTTAAGCTTAATAACATATTTATCAATGGTAATAAGAAACCAACGATGTATGTTATTATTTCCAATAATAATATCTTCCATATGATCACTTTATATGAAATAGGCAGAAAGTGTCATAGGAGCTTCCCTCTTATCAATGGTTTCAAAGATAATAGAGAGATTTTTGACCTTTTGAGTCATTGTCGTCGCCTTTGCAATAAAGGACGTAATGACTTGAGGAGTTTTGCATTGCCTTCTGTAAGAAGAAGGATCAAATTCTCCTCTAATAATGCTTATATTGACTCCTGTGTCTATTAATGTATGGAGCATAAAGCGTTTATATTTAGGGTATGTAACTGTAACACGTGTGAAACAATTTACCCTTGTTCTTTTATCTAAATTCAATGAATTTGTTTTCATTATTTTCTGGAGTAATAACAGGACATCTTGGTTTTTTTACAGGAAGGTGTATGCTTCTTTGTGTATTCAAGACTTCCTCTTTTTGTTATTTTAAAGATGAAATAGAGCCCTCATCACCGAGGATAACTTAGGAAATTAAATAAACGTATGATAGCTAGTAATATTGTTGTAATGTTGAGCTTGCTGCATAATTTTATTTATATCTCTCTTTTCTTCAACCAAATAGCACAAAACAACACAAATGTGATTAACCTACAATAACAACAATTAGAGTTAGTAATTTGAACAATAAAACTATGAGAAATATCAATTGTAAGACTATAACACAACATCCAAGTTTTTTTATGAAATTACACTCCTTTAGCAGAGTACATAGTCTAAGTTCAATTCAATTTTTTTTTCTTCAACACGAAATTTGCATTTATTACCTTACTTATACAAATCGAATAAATTTTCAAAACCGTCCTAGTTAGACATTTAATCCCAAAAAACTTTATTTGCAAAAACCGACCTGGTTTCAGCCCCAGCGCTGAAACCAGGTCGGTTTTTGTAAAAAAAGTTATGAAACTTCACGGTAGTTCAACTTCCGTGAAGTTTAGCAACTAATTTGTTAAGCTGTTAAACTTCATGGGAGTTCAACTCCCGTGAAGTTTCATAACTCAATTTTTTTAAGCCACGTGAATCTCCAACGCCTGTGACTCCTCCTCCCCCTTCCGCCACCTCATCTCCCTCTCCCTCACCAACTGCTCCTCCTCCCTCTCCTTCCCCTCCAACGCCCTCGTCTCCCTCACCTCCCTCTCCCTCACCTCCCTCTCCATTCTCCGCTGGGCAGTTTTGAAATTTGTCCATTGAAACTGAGATGAGTTCGAGAATGGCGATTACTGAGAAGAAACCCATGAAGGGGAAAGGATTGGGGAGTGTTTTCTTCCATTTTTTTATTGGAACAAGATGCTCTCTTACAAAAAGAAGAAGCTTTTCTTGAGTAACAAGCTTCTGCTACCTTCATGTGCTAATTTGAGGCTGACCCATTTTGTTGTTCTTTGATTTTGAGTGAGAAAAATGAGGAAAGTTTTGATCTTTGTTTTTGTTTTTGATAGGCTCGAAAAAATTTGGTGGGAATGAGAAGATGCCCAGGCTTAAGCAGTTTCTGGTAATTTCTTCAGGCTCCTCTCCGGCAAGATCCCCCACCACTGGAACTCCTGACCCACCTCTCCCGCCCCTGAGCGATAATTTATGAGCTGAAACTTCACGGGAGTTCAACTCCCGTGAAGTTTAGCAACTTAACAAAATAGCTGCTAAACTTCACGAGAGTTGAACTCCCGTGAAGTTTGTCAACTTTTTTCGTAAAAACCGACCTGGTTTCAACCTGGTGCTGAAACTAGGTCCGTTTTTGCAAATAAAGTTGAAAAGGATCGTTTTTTGGGATTAAATTTCTAAATAGGACTATTTTGAAAACTAGTCCTATACAAATCATATATGATAAATTTTAAACAAACAAGAATGGCCTGAAAAACCTAGCCTTTCTAAAAGTCAATCGCATTGTTTATTAACAATCTGTTGCCGTTGAATTTGCATTTATTACCTTACCTAAAAACCAACAATTTTCATTTATTAATTTACCTACAAATCATTTACGACCAAACTTAAATATTCAACTTTGTCATGAAATATTTGGTAGCTGTCGTTATCAACGCCTTTTTTACGACACAATTTGATGACAATTAAAAGGAAACATGGATTTGTTGTCACCACTATAAGTGCATATATAATAAATATGATAGAGATGAGATGGGGTTGAAGACTCATCAGTTTTTGTTTGGAGAAGTCTTTCCTCTTCCAGCATTGGTGAGTTAGGTTTCACGGTTAATTTGAAGATGGTTTTTTTTATTAGAACTAAAGAGTTAAAGAGAGGGAATATTTTGAAAATGAGAGATGATAGATGCGATGTACCTCATTAAATTGACTGTTGCCCTAGGTTTTTCAAGTTTCTCCCCCGATTTTTTTGAATGAGTTGACGGATTTTTAAGCGGTTAGGATGAGCATTCCATAGGCCAGTATACTTTGTAAATGGGTGGGAGAGAGATGTGGGCCAAGAGAGACAGGCTGGCAAGGACGTGTGATTGTGAGGGCCCAAGTCGGAGTTGGGCTAGGAGAAATGTTCAGTGTCGGCCTTAAAAATAATGGATGAGTTGGCAGATCCCTGCTCTGTAATTGGGCCAGTAGAAACTATTCATGGATACTGTTCGAAGTCTTTTGCATTGAGTATGATATATAATTATTTTCTGAGTTTTACTTGTCACCAAATTCATAATATGGTTTTTATGTATAACTATTTATTAAAACTTCAGTGTTAATTTTTTACTGTTATTTATGAGTGAATTTTCGAACTAGTTAATAACATAATATATCAATTAGCAAGTTTCATTAATTTTCTATAATAAAGCCAGAAAAGATTTATATTTGTGAAATATCTTATAAATGTTAGATTCATCACTTGCAAGAAAAAAAAAGATTTGAATAGTATTTTCAAAGTTAAAAACGTCACTTCAGCTTCGAACAACGAATAAAAGGCTAAAAAATTTATTGTAGCATTTTAGAGCTTGTTTAAGTTAAGATTTGAAAATTATATTACAGTATGAATTGTGTTTGTGCGAAACAATCATAGCTGCTCGAGCTATATGGCTAAGGCTGATAAATAGTAAGGTAAATCTTTCGAATCAAGGTGTAGCAAGAATAGTGTGAACAATGATTTTATCGTGAATCATACTGTAGTAAGAGCAGTGTTCACTGTAGTATAAAATAGTAATTTTGAGGTTTTGTTTTTAAGTTATATAATAATAATATAAAAATAAAATAAAATAATAATAATAACAACAGTGGTAGATATATGTTGAGCAGGCTTAATGGGCTTATCAGCATCAAGTGAGGCCCACTCAGTTGAAATCGCATGCACCGTTGACCCCATAGAAAGGGCCCAGCCCACGCAGAGCCGTCTCCGCACGTCTAGATCTTTCTTTCCTCCAACTCATTATCCACCTCCGCAGGCACATCACACCGTGACCTAGAAAATTCTTCTTCCCTGCCTCTCCGTTGAAGTCGAGAAGGACTAGCCAGAGAGCGAGAGCCTCAACCAGCTCAAACCCAAAAGCAGCGGGGCCGGGTGAGGAGATCGACGAAGAGAGAAAGGGAGAGTTTTTTTTATAAAAATAATAAATAAATAAATAAAAATGGGGAAGATTCCGGTGAAGGTGAAGGCGGTTGTGTACGGACTCTCGCCCTTCCAGCAGAAGATCATGACCGGGCTCTGGAAGGACGTCCCGGGCAAGATCCATCACAAGGTCTCCGAGAACTGGACCAGCGTCGTCCTCCTCCTCGCCCCTCTCGTCGGAACCTACACGTAAGCAGATCAAGAAACCATGGCCCTTAGATTTTTTTTAGCTGTCCGATTTGATTCTTCCGTTAGGTTTCAGCTCTTCCTGTAAACAGACGAAACGGGAATTTAACGGCGGAACGTAGAAAAGGGAATTAGGACGGGGTTTTCTTAAGCCGCCAAGTCTAAAATTATTATTACTCGGTTAAATGTCACGTGCGCGATGCACGTGACGGAATTAGACCTCACAGCGACACATTTAAACTGTAACATGTTGTGCTTTTTTTTATTTCTCCGTAGTAAGTTGAATTATGTTTGTTGTTATAGTTTTGTATCTTTATTTCCTCCTTCCTCCATACCATTTAAATCGTCATTTATTTGAATGAAAAAAAAAGATTATCTCGAGTCAATTTTCTATAATTCTTCTACTACCGACCTCAGCCATAGCATTGTCATTTAATTATTGTATTTCAAGATTTAACTTTAGTAGGAGCTCTTCAAGGAGCATTGTCATTTTCTTAACATTTTCATTTTCTACTTAATGTTTGAAAAGCATAAAACTGTCAAAAGTGTTTGTATGAAAGAAATAATTCGAAAATAGAGATAAATTTCTAACTATTGTTTTAATCCTCGTTTATTTTGAACATAATATTTGTTGCTATTTTTCATGTTGAACTAGGATATACACTATTGTTTAATACCTATGTGATTAATTAATTGTGTGGCTCACCAATGTCCTTAGTTTTAGTGGTCAAATTTTTTAGCAAGCTTAGATTGATTTTTAATGGGTTCAAAAGAGGTGTTCTACATCAAAAAGTATAGGGACCTCTTAAAGTAAATCTTCATAGATTAAAAAAATTTAAACCCAATTTCCAACGGATGTTAAACAAGAACTTATTTTGTAACTAAAATATGGTACATAGACTAAGTTGAGGAAAAGAAAGTGGGGGACCGGTTTGACTATGAAGCCTAGTATAGCGGCCAAATTGTTCTTTTATTCTATTAAATATCTACGGGACTAATATAAAAAATCCGTAAATTTATCTTATTGTTTATTATTTAATGGACTCTTATGATTTGTTTTGAATGAAAAGTAAGAGATGGATGCAGTTGACAGGATATGAAGGTAAGTTTATTTGTAATGGAACATAGTAGTTGTAGACAGTGTTATTGAGGCGCGCCCTGGGCGCGCCCCGGACGCGGGGCGCTTCAGCCTGGGCGAAATGCGCCCCGCACGCGAGGCGGGGCGCTGCACGCAGCGAGGCGCGCGCTTCGCGTGCGCCTCGCATGCGCCTCGCTCGCGCCTCGCGTGCGCCTCGCGTGCGCCTCGCAACCTGTGTTATGTAACATACTTTTTCTTCTATTTTTTTTAAATAATTTACATAATTACATATTTATATCATGTAATATACTCTTTCTTACTAGTTGCTAATCTATTTTCATCTTTTCATGTTTAACCTATAAAAAAAACAATAATTAGTAATTTAGTATACTTGTTTGCTAATTGTAACTTCCTTCACTAATTAGCATGCTAATAGCAAATTATGAACATGTAAATATGTAATTATTACATTCATTCTTCATCTTTTCAAGCTAAGTAGCAAATATCAATTAAGAATACTAACTAGAAAATTATAAACAGTCATGTTTGTTAATTATATTTCTTAGTCTTTTTATGTGACAATTTATAAACATATGCTCATAATTGTATCACTTAATTTGATGATTTAAATACATGTTTCTTGTATCTTTTTTGTTACTTTAAAAATTCAGTTAGCATAATTTGATGATTTAAGTTGATATTCTCATAATTTTGGATGTAGGTAACTAATATGTTGCTTATATGTTTCTGTCTTATGATATTGGTAAATATTAATTTGAGTTATGCGTTTCAGTTAGTGAGGCGCGCACCTTGTTGTGCGCCTTGCGCATGGTGCGCGTAAGGGACCTTTGCGCCCGCATTGCGCCTTGCGCCTCGATAACACTGGTTGTAGAAAGTTAGGAAGTTCTTTCTTTTTCACAACAAATGGGAAAAGGGAGAGTAGAAAATATTCAGATTTCACAGATTAGATAAATTTGAGCTTCTCTAAAAAATAATTAGATGTTGATGCACTGAGGTTTTAGAAAACTTGCTTCAAGGAAAACCTAGGCTAACAATTGTGGATGTTGATGGGTTGGAATAGAATATGATTTGGCAATGACATATTATGTTGTAGTACGATATTGTAGGAGTAGTTGGAGAAGTTCTAGAAATAAGCTCTTCTCGAATTATGTAGTATGTGGATGTGAAGTCGCATTATGATGGAGGAGTTAGACTGGTTCCATTTGTTTTGATCAGTTTTACGGTGCATACGATAAGTGCATCACAAAGTACTAGTGTGAACACCGTGCAAAGCACAACATATCTTTTTTCCCCCACTACAGTAATCCCGGTTTTAAATGCTAATTTTTTTTGAATTGCTACAGTTTCCTGCTCTGCTATAGTGTTTTTAAAATGCATTTTCCCCCAGTGTTTTCAAATGCGCGCGCCTCATTGCGCCTCATGCGCCTTACGATGCGGGGCGGTGGCGATGCGCCCCACATCTGATGCAGCAGCGCCTTTTGCGCCTCGCGTACATCCGTACTTTGTGTAGGATGCATGCAGTGCATTTCCTCATATAGTTTTTTTTGTTAACATTTCAATCGAGTCTTTATACTTGATATTCCATATCCCAAAAAACAAAATAAATCCATTGTGCTTTTTTAATAACCTTCAATTGAGGACCATTACTAATCCTTAGTTTGGATATAAAGTCTTGATTTAACATTTGATTTGAAAATTTATGAAATTTGCTACTATGTTGGGTGTTAGCATTAGAAATTAAGGCAATATATTGTGATTTTGTAGCAAGATATTATTTATCATGATATTTTTTATGTAAATTCTAAAAATATGTTCTTTCGTACTTGATTACATATATTAAAATATTATGTGTGGTGTGCGCCTCGCATCACTCGGGCGCGCGCATCGCGTTACGCCTTGCGCATGTGCGCGTAAAGATGCTTTGCGCCTCGCATTGCGCCTCGCGCATTGAAAACACTGTTTTCCCCAAAAAAATTGCTACAGTGCCCCATCACCCCGATTGCATAGTGATAACGGTACAGTAAATGGTACTGTAGCATTACTGTAGCATGAATAGTGAGTCTTGGGTTCTCCCGTTTGTATGGAGGAATAGATATATTTGTGAATAGAAAAATGTTGTAACACCTATGATAAATAAATAGGTGTGCATGTTTGTGCATCTTTGGATGATGTCTTCATGGAGTTTAGCGAATGAAAATCTGCTCCTTTATTACTTCCATTTAAACTTGCGAAGAATCTATGCATAAAAAATGTTGTTAACACCTTATGCATTAATTTAAAAAGAAAAATCTACCATTAAAAAAGAAATGACTTCTTTGTTTGTAAATTGTCATAGGAAAGTGAATTTGCATGACACCACAACGAATTGCATAAAAGCATGAGAATTGAAAAAAACTTAACCTCACGGAATTTCTATTTCATCAAACAACTTTGGATGTTCCTGGACATTGATAATCAAATTTAACTATAGTCACATAAAGAAAAATGTATGCATGTTCTTGGTGAACATAAAGTGATGACTCATTTCTAGATAAGGGTTGTAATCGTTGTTGGGAATTTACGCCGAAACCCCTAAGACAGCAAAAACGCAGAATAGAAAAAATACACCAAAATTTAACGAGGTTCGGCAACTGCCTACGTCCTCGGGAGTCACACAACTAATTTCTTATTAATCCCAACAAGGAATTACAATTCAAGAGCGAATCTCAAACTTGAGATTCCTCAATAAATACAGTCTTTCACTGTAGCTACAGTGAAGATTCCCTTCTTCATTAATACCCCTTTAATTTCTTTCACCCCGCTTTAATTCCCTTCTTAAAGTCTCCCCTCAAATCCTTCAATTGAGAGCTGGAGAGAAAAAAAAGGGAACGGAACAGAGAGAGAAAGAGAGATCCGCCGCCAAAGGGGGGTTTTCTTGAGATCGCGAGAGAGGAAGCACTGAGGCTAGGGCATAGGGTTTCTCTTTTATAGGGAAACCCTAGGATAGCTGGCGACAGGTTGTCGTTGCCTGTCAACGATCTCGCCTGCGAGGAGCTCGAGCTCGCCTGTCTCTTGTCGAACTTATGATGTGTTTAACCTATCGCTATCACATTTTCCCTGGAGGTGAGAGAAGACATTATGTTCTGCGCATTGAAGCCTCATAATTACTAATGTAGCATTGCATCTCACCTAAGGGTGCCAAAACATGTTTGTATTGACGGATATATCCGTGTCCGTTAGGATACAAATATGGTTAGTAAAACCTATAACTTATAGGATATGATACGGATATGGTTATGTAGTGAAATATCTAGATGTGTATCCGAAATATTTGAATATATGCCGATTATACATGTCTAACTATTTTAATCCTTAGATTAATGGATTCAAGACTTATTTTGATTATCGAAAGATATAATCTTAAATTTTCAGATATAACAAACATATAATTAATGAACTCTATTGTATAATATGAGCTATATTTTTAAGATATTATTTGGTTTTCTCATATCTGTTCTGTATTTGCATGCATATACGCATATATACGTATGTATATTTGTATCTGTATTCGGTTTTAGAAGATATGAATGTGATTTTTCCATACCAAGACGTATTTGTATCTGAATCTGTATCTGTGATTGTTAAGCAGATATGGATATTATAAGTATCATATCCGAGCCGTATCTAATCCATTAATACCCTAATCCCTCCTATAAATGTTCAACCCATCCATCATTAAGATTCTAAATTTAAATTGGAGAGACTTTTAGACCGAAATGTCACTTGCTGGAGTGATGAAAGCCTAGAGCATTTGCGGATTTAGATGAGAGGGGGAGCAGACAACATTGGGACACCCTGAAAAATCTTTGAGATTCGATATGGAGGTGGAGATGGAAGATGTTAGGTTTGTTTCTGGGACTGGAAA